TAACCAGGTCGATCTCATTAAGCATACTCGGTCCAGAGGTAGAACCGAAGGCGGGTCTCTGGAGACGACGTTTGAAATTCCTTAACCAAAGGATAGTACGGATCCAAGAGATTCCGTAGGATCGACGATCCACTTCGTGCTTTCAGCACTCTCTTGGTATTCTCAAAGACAGCTTTATGTAGAAGCGATGAAGCATTTATCTCCTCCTCCGGTCGTACAATGACTACTTCGGACGAATCGCCTGCCTTCAAGGCACTGCCCAACTCTTCAAAAGGCATCTCGTCCAGCTCACGAAGAGCATCTACTGTAGGCATAGCCTCGAGGCGGACGTCGCCATCTTCCTTCCCCGTCATACCGCTGACGAGGGTGTATAACTGTGTAACGTTATCTACGGTAGACACACCCTGGATCAGGGTCGACGCCCGGTGTCTTGCAGCCAGCATATGGCGTCGTTGTTGCTTCTGTACCGAGAGAAGAGAAGAGTTTCTATGTATCGGTGAGACCAGGGTGAACACGCACTCCGCATCGTCCGGTGTCAACCTCACTGTCCGCTCCTTTGGAGCTCCGATTTATCTTTAACATCCGACGAAGAGCTGCTAAGCTCGCAGCCTTAGTCCAGAGGATAACGTGCCACTCCACGCGCATCTGAAAGCCGTGCTCAAGACGCCTCGGATTCGGTCCGATCACGCCATCAATGGCATGCAGCGACTGCTTTGCAACGAGAGCAGTGCTCAGTGGCTTACGTGCCACTTCATTTGCATCACGGAGACCTTGCCCTCGATGCCTCGGCCCTTGACCGACCATGTCACGCATGACGTGCAGCAAACTTGAGCATCGCTCAGTGGGTTACGTGCCACTCCACCATCAGCTCGCGAGCCACGCTCGGGACTTCTGTCTGATACACCGTTAGTGTCTACCAACTCGAACATTCCAATGTCTAGCACGTTGACCGTCTCGGTCCTGTGCTATCGCCAATAGCGCCCTTATCACCTCGCAGAGGTGGGTTCATGATTCGCCAAAGCTTCACCAGGAGAAGTGCGCGTAGCGCCCAAGGTCTTTGACCTCCAGCCAATCCATTGCTCATGGTCTTCCAACCATGCCATTCCTAGGATGATGTCATACCTTGCATCAAAGTCTAATACTAGACAGTGTTCCACGCTATCAAAGTCGAGGAACTTGATTCTGAGGTCCACAGGGACCTTCGGGACCGTGACACGTGTTCCCGTCGCTATGCGAACAGTGACGATGTCACCCAAGCGCGCTTTCGGCGCCTCAGCATACAGCTGCCTTCCTTCTATCGTGAAGCGTCGAGCAATTATGCTCGACGCCCTGAAATCGATGCGGATATTCCGTGGCTTCTCGAAGTCCTTTACGGTCGCCTCAACGACAAGCAAAACCGGCTTGCATACACGTTCCGTGCTCAAGAGCACGGAGCTCTTCGGGGCAAAACCTTGCTAACCTTTGCCTCCCTTAGGCTTAACGGAACTAAGTTCTCCCCCAGTAGGTCGCCACACGCCTACTGGGTGGTGTCGCTTCCCCATGACGAGCCAGACTGGTAGGCGTTGGGGCGATGGTTCGAAGAACCTTGACGCGCCTTGCGCCGGGGGCAACCTTTCCGAAGGTGACGGGTGTCTCCACAGACAAAACACATTCGTGTGTTTGTGTTCTGTTTGGCAGCTCGGAGCTCTGCTCCCTAGTCGTCAACATAGCTGAGATACATGGGCACAGGCCCGCTCGACGAACTGTTGGAGTGTGCATTCCAACCATGTCGTGCCGACTTGAAATTGAATTCGGCATTAACTACCACATTCACCGCCTTTTCAAACGGAGACGGATGCACACGAAAGACTTCCATTCTGCCCACGCCAGTGCGGAGGCCTTCCATATAGACGGTCACTGCGGCCGCCTCCGGAAGGGGATCTGCTGCCATCTTGGCAATGAGAGTGCGCATCTATTGGACAAAGTCCACCAATTTCTTGTTGCCCTGTCGCGTGGCAAGGAAACGCGCTCGC